TTGTGAGCCATGAACAAGGTACTAGTGAGGTAGCAGGTTGCAGGTAACAAAAGCTAATCTTTGATTACAGTCATGGTAATTTTAATTCTGGGAGCTCAGTCCCTTTCTTGGGCTGGTACAGAACTTTCCTCAATAAATGCTGCCTACCTTATGTGTCTGTGTCCATTGAAGTGTTGGGTGGGTGGTTTGAAGGGTTTTTAAAACTGACTTTTGGGCCCTGGGGAACTTGCAGACCCCTGGGCTGTTGAAGGCCTTTAAAGCGCCGGGTTGCAGGCAAGTTTAATGCTGGCAGGACTATGAAACCTTAAATGACCCAGCCGCTCGCAAATCAAAGCTTGAATTTACTGCTAATAAAGGCTAAGTTAATCTTGGCAGAGGTAGAAGCCTGCAAGTCCGTGCTGTGTTTTACAAGGCTAAGACGTAACCCAAAGGGAACTTCCTGCAGCCAGGAGAAGCGGTCAAAGTACAGCTCGGAGTAAACTGGGTTGTTACGATGTGTCAGCTTGAGCAGGTAAAACCTACCCAGGAGCCTGGCCCCGATACCAGATGTGTGCAGAGCTCATCCAAGAATTGCTAAAATGCACCTTGCTGAAGAGGGTGTGGTGGCCGGGGAGGGAAAGACTGCCCAGCTTTTGGCAGTGGGTGTGAGCAAGTATTGCGAGTCTCCAGGTGACCAAGGCCCAACTGCAGGAGGTGAGAAAATGTTTTGAAACTTCAATCATCTGCTTTATTTAAAGTCAATCACGGCCTGCGAGAGCAGCAGCCCAGCAACGCAAAGCCAGGCATTAGTTGAACAAGCAGAAATGATCCTTGATCACACATTTCCAGTGAAGTCCGCAGCCCAGGGGTGAAACAGCACGGGGCAGGGTCAGAAATTCTCGTAGTGATGTGCAAAGTAGGTCTGGTCCTTCTTGTTCAGCTGCCGACAAGCCTTTTCCACGCTCTTTGTCATCCCGGGCGGGCCACAGCTGAACACCCCGATCTTCGGCACCTGGGGAAGGAGGAAGCCAAAGGGTTCAAACCCAGCAGCACCAGCTCTCCCCCCAGGCCAGCCCCCCTTGGCCCCATGCCCTCCGGCAGCTTTGGGCACAGATGCTGGCCGAGCAGTCTGACCTAGCCTGAGGAGGCTTCTGGGGAGGTTGCTGGGGCCATGGAGGAAGGATGGGAACCCCCAGGGTCTCGCCATAGCAGGGGGTGTTTGGCTGGTACGGGGCATTGCTGGCTCTGGCAGCTCATCCTGGCTCCGGAGGGAAAGGGGGGTTCATGCCCCTTCTGCCCTTGGTGCAGATGCCACCAAGGTCTCCAGGACCTTGGGGACAGGCTGGGACCAGTCCTGCGCGCTGGCTGGTGGGTGACTCCTCTCCCCAGCCGGCCACTGACCTCAGGGTGCACCTCCTGCAGCGAGTTGAAGAAGGGTACGAAGGGAGGGCGCCCAAAATGGGTGATGGAGCGCAGCCCTGTGAACAGGCTCTTGTTCAGCACCTTCTGGAAGTGCCGCTCGCAGATGTACTGGAGGAGAGATCAGTGCGTGTCAGATGGCCCAGCACGGCCCAGCATGGCATGGCAGCCTCCCCGGCAGGTGGCCAGGCTCACCAGCATGGTGGTGCGCAGATCGAACTTCTCGGCCAGCTGCGTGATGTAGATGTGCACGGAGACCAAGTCGTTCCTGTCCGCCTCCTCCACCTCGCGGATGATGTCCGCCAGCCACTCAAACTGCCGCTGTGTGCGCGTCACCCAGATGAAGTAGATCTGTGGCACACGGGGATGAGGCTCAGAGTGGGGCCAGCACCCTTACACATGCCCGTCCTTCCCAGACAAATCATGGAGGATTTTACCCCCAAAAAGGTCAGCAGCAGCAGGAGGCACCTTGGGAGGGCTCTTGTCTTCCAGATGCTTCCTCTTACCTTCTTACAGAGCAGCTTGGAGCTTATGGATGACTTGAAGACCAGGTCCTTGAGGATGGATGCGAAGGGTGTCACCCCAATGCCTCCTCCCACCAGCACCGACACCTCGAACTTGTTCCACTCCTGGTGGCCCTCCCCGAAGGGCCCATCCAGATAGAGCTGGAAGGGAGCCAGCTGTCAGCAGAGCATCTCCTGCTTCTGCTTGCCCAGGTCTTTGCCACCTTCAAGGCTGGAGACGTGCCTTTGGTCTTGGCACAACCCATTGCCAAGACGCTCTTGGGCTCAGGTGTCCCTTTCCCTGGAGAAGCAGTGCAGGGCTCACCTTGGGCAGCTTGCCAATGAGGGCCAGGCTCTCTGAGGAGTAGAGCTCCCGCAGGCGGGTGGTCCAGGGCCCCACAGCCCGGATGTGCAGGCTCAGTGTGTCCTCATGTGGCGCCGACGTCAGGGTGAAGGGGTGGTATTCGGTGGTGCCCAGGGTCACGCAGGCAATGCGCACCCACTGCCCAGACTTGTAGTCAAAGTCCAGCGGCCGCTGGAACCGGAGATGGGTGACACCTACGGGGGTATGGGGATGGGGACTTTGTTAAGGTGGAGACATTGAGTGGTGGAGGTTCCTCCATCACCGCAGCCCCTGGTGCTCTTGTGAAGAGCCTGGGCTGAGCTGGTGCCATGTGGTCAGGGACAATGTGGTACCTGAGGGCAGGAGCTCGGCTTTCACCACGCTGATCTCCACCTTCTTCCTGCTCAGGCTGAGCAGCTTGTCTGCACCGTAGATGAGAGCTGGGATGATGAAGTAGATGTAGAAGCGGGGCTGCTGGATGAGTGCGTAGCTGCCGTGGATGATGACCTGGGCAGGCAGCAGCCCCCATCAGCACAGCGCTCAGCGTGGCAAGCTGTCGCCCTGTGGCTGATTTGGTGGCAGCTCAGCAGCAGCAGGGAGCCAGGACTGGGGCCACCAGCTCCCTTGGGACCTCCCCAGCTACCTCACCTCGTCAGCTGGGCTGACCCATGGGCTTGTGGTACATCATCCCTCCCGCCCAGCCCAAATGCTTTACCAGGACATAGAGCAGCACGTAGAGGTGGTGGGTGATCCAGAAGCCCTGGAAGCTGACGCGTCGGAAGTGGTGGGTGGCGAACACGTACATCACGGCCAGGACCACGAGCAGCAGCACGCCTGTCATGCCTGTGAGAGGAGGGGTTGGGAGGTCCCGGGGGGGATCAGGGCAGCCCTACAGGGTCTCCACCAGGGCTGGGCAGAGGGCTGCCCGTCCTGGGCACGGGTGTGCAGGTCTGCCTGCTAGGTGGTCTCACCTGGAATAGTCTGGAAGAACCACCAGTAATACTTCTGTGGGAGCTGTGACCTGGAGAGAGGGACAGATGATTGCACCATGGAGTGGCCAGAGCACACTCCTGGTTTCCACTTTCATTCCTGTCCATGCCCAGGACACTCTGTCTGGACTCTGCTTTAAATTTCACCTACCCGTCATCCATAAAGACACTGGAAAAGAGGCAGGACAACACACTGAGAGGCGTGACTGAGAAGATGTAGATGTTCACTACGTGACCTGCAGTGTGGAGCACTGTAACAGACAAACAGGGAGAGAAAAGCATCACTGTTGCTGTGGACAGAGATGCGTCAGACCCTGCTGATGTGCCCAGGGACTTGGCAATTCCTCCTCTTCTCTGGTGCAAAGCATCTATGTCTCTGCAGGCTCCATGTGGGTCTTCAAGCTTCTGCCTGGTCCTGCTGTGCCACGATGGGCTGGTCCACCTGCTTTAGCTGTGGTTTGTGGACAGCACACCCCCCAGCAGCCCACCTACCTGAGAAAATCAGGGCTGCCATAGCAACCCAGCGGTGGAAGTCCACGGCAGCATCGAAGGGGATGTAGTGATTGAGGAAGGTCTCCCGCAGGACGGTGATGAGGTTGCGGCACATGGTAAGCAGAATGTAGGAGTATATGAAAGAGATGCAGGCAGCCGATCCCCGGGAGATGATGATCCCCACAAAGGTGGTCTGTGCGATTCCAGTGCTGGGGGATGCGAAGGCGTAGTCTGGGGGGAGAGAGCGGAGGGGGCATCAGCGTGCCCAGTGCTGAGGGCCGTGACCCTTCCTGCAACAAGGGGATGGCCACCTGTGTGGCTCCACCAAGAAAAGGTCACCAGGGATGGGGCTGTGTGGGGACAGGGGCATGATTTTCTGTGTCAGACCCCCCCAGAGCTGTTGGGTGACAGGGTGTCCTTGGAGGTCACAGAGGGGGGAATTGTCCTCCTCTGCCAGGCACTGTGAAACTGCACCTTGTTGCAGTTGGACATCCCAATATGAGAGGCATCAACAAACTGGAATGAGTCCGGTGGAGGCCGCCAGGATGGTGGAGGAGTGGAGTTCAATGAGAGGAGCTGGAGGATATCACGTAGGGGAAAGGCTGAGGGCAATGGGCTTGTTCAGGCTGGAGGAGATGGGTCAGGGAAGACCTTGTGGCTGTCTGCAACCACTTAATGCGTGTTACAGAGGG